TACATCAACAGGATGATCAAGCAGGTCAACCAGAAAGGAATGGAACGTCTGGGCATTGTCATAGATGAGCTGCCGACCATCGTACTCCAATGGTTGGACACATTGCTCGGAACTGCCAGATCAAATCGTGTAGCCACTTTTTTGGCCATTCAGAATATAGAGCAATTGCGCAAGGACTGTGGCCGTGAACAGGCCGATGTGATCATCAATATCATAGGTAACCTGATCGTTGGGCAGGGAACTGGCAAGACGGCAAAGCATTTCTCACAGCTATTCGCAAAGACGTTTGCAGGACAGGGAAAGCCTGTCCTGCAAACGTACGGATACTTCTATTTCCAAGTCCAAACAGTTGGAGGCCGCCATAAGTCCGTCTACCATTTCAGGCCTTTCTTCGGGAGAATTTGTGGGTATCGTATCCGATAATCCAGACAGTAAGATCGAACTCAAAACCTTCCATTCCGAAATATTGAACAACCATGAGGGCATAAAAAAGGAGACAGATGCCTATAAGCCGATACCCCAGATACGCAATGTCGATGCCGGCATGATACAGGCCAACTATTACCAGATTAAGAAGGATATCTCCGAGATCGTCAGCTACGAACTGGGCCGCATGAGGGATGATCCGGCATTGGAGCACCTTATCATTAAGAGTTAATTAAACCTATTATTGATTCAAGCAAGAAAAATAACAATTAATGATATGGATATTAAAGAAATTTACTAAATTTCCAATCTATAATCTTTTTAATTGCAAAAGATAAATATCTCTATTTAACAAACTCAAATTAAGTGAACAACAACAATAATCGTGGTTCAATATGGAGAAAGTGGGATCTTCATGTTCATACACCCTTGTCAATTTATCACCAATTCGGCAATAATGATGACCCAACAACTTGGGAAGATTACATTAAAGATTTAGAGGCTTTACCTGATAGTTTCAACGTAATTGGAATCAATGACTATTTTTTTATAGATGGATTCGCTAAGTTGAAAATATTACAAGAACAGCATGGAAGATTAGCGAAATTAAAACTATTACCTATAGTAGAATTTAGGATTGAAAAA